CATTTGGCTGCTAATCCAGGGTAATCAGCACTACACATGTGCACATTCATCAACAAACACTTAGAAACAATTAGCTTTACAGAGAGTAGTTTTGTTTTTTTGTTCATCGGCCATGGGCCAGTTTGAATGATAGACCGTAAATGGTCCATCATTGGTTTGGCGACTAAATTATTTCACTTGAACAGAACTGCAACTTCTCTACAAACATCAACTGTAAGCAGATCAATCACGTCATTCCTCCTTCTCCAGGAGATTTTATAAAAAGGGGATGGCAAATGCAGCAAACTGTTTTGCTCACCTTCCATGCATCATATGGCGTTAAAGAGCTAAAAACTGAAGCCATAACAACCCAAACGGCAAAGACTAAGGCTTTCAGATTATTCTTATCTCTGCTGTTATCAGTTTGTACATTAGAGTCATTTTATATTTTATTTGCAAAGAAGAGCCAACTAAGAGAAACTAGTCAAAAAAATGTTTAGTCAAAGAAAAATTCCTAACAAAAAAAAAAAAAAAAATGTTAAACTAAATGGAAAGCAATACTGAAAGACCAAGTTAGATGCCACAGCAGACCAAAGCGAGGGAGACAAGACCTCTGAACATACAAGCAGAGCTACAATTAATAGAATAGAAATTTGAGGTGTTAAAATGACGCAGTCAAAGTCCAGATTTATGCACATATTATAATCTACAGTGAGTCGTAAAAGTTGAACATAATGGATTATTTGGAAACTAAGTATCTTCTCTGCAATTCTGCAATTATAAATGCATAAAATCATGTCAGTTAATCGCATAACACTTGATAAGCCTTGGTGGCCTGATAAAGTGTGAATAGGTCCATACAAATGTGTCTAATGCATGTTACTTCCTTTATAACAGATGATTAGTAAAGGATAGTCCACCAAATAAAAAAAGCAGCATAGCGTGAAATTTATTTATTTTTTTAACCCAGGTACATCCTTTTTATAGCATTAGCCACAAAACTCAGTCAACTAAAACACTAATGTTGTTGCCAATGATCAACAGAGTCACTTGTGCATTTAGTCACTGAACATGTGCCCTTTGGGTCTGCTTATTTCACATTTCTGTCATTGTTAAGAAAAATAAGCATACAAACAAAAACAGCATGCATCTGTCAGAGGAAGTTGAAGAGCTTCTACCTTTGGCATAAAAATGTTCTTGAACAAGCATCTGGAGTCACTGTGATAGTGAGGGAAAGCAAAAAAAAACATCGCTATTTGCTCAAAAGCAACACTGACCATCGGGAGGACTGAGGGCCTGTAATCCTACCCATGCACTGACATTCCCCTGCTTCAGAGTTTCTGTTTCAGCAGGAACTAAGGTAGTAAAGATGCCACCCAGTTGGATTTTAAAACAATCTAACCGCCAAGAAGAAGAAGAAGACGAGTTAGGCAGACCTGAGCAAAGACAGTTTGGCCCCTTTAAAACTTGAAAGTTTAATTGTAGTTAACTTTATAAAACAAAGCTTTTGTCTTTCAATTTTTTAAAGATAGTCATCGGAGGAGAAATAGCAGGGAGGGAAAACATAAATGAAAGACAAAATGGCATGAAGTGTGAGTGCAGTTTGATTCCTTTGCCAGATGTTTAACACTAATTTGGGTATGTAGGAAGTAAGCACAATCAATCTCATCTTTAATTTGTGAAAGATCTACCAAAGTCGAATCAAAGCTGCAGATAGCTGTCAATTATGAACATCTGCTTTAAAATCTGCAGTTAAATAGCCGGCTGTATGAACCAGCTGCGCAGGTGGCGAGGAGTGAAAAGCTTTCAGATTAATGCATCTTTTAGAGCAAAAGCATAAGCTCACACCAAAAAAATCTCAAAGATAAAGCTGCACGTTATGAAATAACTTAACAACTTTATCAGTGGCACAATGTTTGACAGTCCTGCTGCTAAAACTTTGTATAACATTTGTTTTTTCCCAGTTGGGAGATAATTTAAACTAACATTTCTCAAGGTTGGAGCTTTGAGAGGGAGAGAGATCTTCCAGATTATTGGGCTCTGCACCACACAGCCTTTATAAATCCATGAAAAAAAGGCAGCCTAGACAAATTAACACCACACATGTGTCCAATTCCTTTTTTTTCTACTTATTCAAATTAAGTTTTTATTCCAGTAATTGGAAGAAAAACAAGCCTGCAGCAACATAGGGAAACAAAGCAAAGTTACTAAAAACTTTAAATAATGCGAAGCATCAAAAAGATTAGCCGATTTCTTACTTTGCAAATATAAGATATAACTTTTATCAAATAAGTTTTAATTAAAAGGTCTGATTTTTCTACCAATTTTCCGTTTTGTTTAAACCAGTGGTATAAATGATTGTAGTTTCTACCACAGATTTAAACTGATTCCCATCATATCTTAGATTGTAAGTGGAGGAAATGACAAAGGGAGGCAGATAGCTTTGTTTACATTATCGCTAGAAAGTATTCTGAAGCCTCATCAGACTCAGCATCTGTTTACAAGACGACAACACAGCCGTCAAATCAGGAGCATGATTCTGAAGGCAGACAAATCCCTTCCTTTTTTTTTTTTTTTTGGTGAGACAATCCCCTGATTTGGATGCAGACAGCGTTGGTATCCTGTCACACAACAACACTTTCCCTTTGACAACAATCTCTTTTACCTGTCAGCACAGTCAGGTCTCATGGGTTTTGATCAATTAAATAATATCCACAGACAGAAACGTGGGAGATTCGGAACAAATTTGTCTATTAATAATAATTCATAGTTTTACCACTTTCACTTGACAGGGAAAACACCAATATTTAGAATTAGAACCAAATTGGTTCCCAGTTTAACTTGCACATTTATTTTCTAATTTATTTATTTTCTTGTTGCTTTTCCCATCATTGAGGCAGAGCTCTTACCATCATTTCTAAGTGGTGTCTCCTGTTGTAGCTTCAAAGCGCCACTAGTAATGTTAGAATATAATGGTAGTATAAGAAAGCCTGGAAACTGAGTGAAAAGCAAACAGCAATCTTTGGAAACAACAAGGATGAAGCTGCTGCTGCTGCTACAGCTGTTGGTTTAATGACTGTTGGAGGGGATGACATTTAACAAAGCGACAGCCTTATATAAACAAAGGTATGGCTTATAGAAAACATGAGAGCGAGATGGCAACTGAAACATGAAACAGAGCATTAAATTGTAAATATACAAATCTTAAACTAAATAGATGTATATATCTAAACAGCTTAGAAATAAATACATGTATCTAGAGTAATCTAAATATGTCAACTAAATAGTAAGTTATTTTACATTTATTTATAAGAAAAAACTGAATAAGATTTCAACTTTGAATTTTTTTGTGGGTTTTTTAATTGCAAGATGAAATAATCTAAATTGTCATGGAGATTTTATCACACAGACCTCAACATTTGATTAAATAGGCTGCTATTCATTTCATTTTAACCAATTATATCAACTAGAGTAATTCCAGCTGCGATAAATTCATCAGCAATCAAAAACTAAAATATTTAGAAAAATAAGCTGAAATTGGGAGGTATTGTTTTTCGCATTTGTGTTCATTTTATTACACTAACATTGAGCTGTGAACTCAGTTTGTTTTTATGTAGCATTGTTTTTAAATGTGGGTCAAACATTTTTCAAACGTTTTTCAAACCTTAACTTAAACACCATATGTGCTTTTATATGAAAGAAAATAAAATTATTCCCCATGAGGTTTGTTTGATTGTTTCAATTATTAAACACCTCTGCAAGCTTTCATTTCACAACAAATCAGGTCTGAGATTATAAAAAAAATGACCAAAAGACTAACAAGTGGTCATAAAACATGACTGAGTTAATAAATAGACTAACAAACAATGAGCAGTCTTGTCAGGATGGAGCAACAAGGAAGCAGTAACTTATATTTCAAAAAGCTTATCATGGTGGATCTCTGTTGTAGACTTGTTTCTCTTTCCATCACGCTGTCATTGTGTAGGTTGTCATGAACATGATTTTAATAAAGAATTTACTGGACTCTACAACACTTCTAGTGATGATCCATAATAATTCAGAATATTTCAGGTCATTCATAAAGAAGACAAAATCGTTGCTTTTTTTCTCCCACACTGTTATCAGTGTGCTGCACTTTATTAAAATATAAATGTTAATTTCACTTTAACTGCTGCTCATTCACTGTCTGAGAGCTGTAGAAAGCAAAATTTCTTAATAACAATAAAAGTTGCCCAAGTCTAAGTCACATGAACCAAATACTGAAGTTAAAGAGAGCTGATGCATAAAGTTAAACTCACTTTATGTCAAATTTTTATGAAATATTACAAGAAACCTAAAAACTCCCCCCTTTTAAAGCAATCATTAATACAAATGATGACTACACTTGGGATTTTCTGCTGCATGCTATTGTTAATGTTTACAACTCGCATACATGTGACACACTAAAGATTAAATTTCCTATTTTAAATCAAAGACGTTGCCGTAGCAATGACAAACTTATAACATCTTAATTGGCAGTTGTCAATAAATGCAGCTGTCTCTGTAGATGGCTATCAGTTCTTAAATGGGTAGAAACAATGGCAGCTGATAGCTCTGTTTACATTAAAGCTAGAAATCTCATATCTGTTAAGAAGACAGTGACAACCATTAGCAGTAAATTCACTTTATAACAAATGGTATTTCCTGTCCTAGTTTGTTAGTTACAATATATATATATATATATATATATATATATATAATGTATGCTGAGCAGTGGAAGTTGAAGAATGGAGGCTTTTAAAGTGTAGCATTCCCAAACATACGGTTGTTTTAGATGTAAAATGTGCTGACTTTCCTTGACAGAGTTTGTGCCATCAATGCTACATTAGTTAAAACAGCTCGAGGTAAAATTAGCTTGAATTATCAAATAAAACTGAGATGGGACAGTGTGAGAATGGGAAAACACTCCAGGACGCCACGGTGAGGCTAGCAGCAGTGTTAGCATGGGGGGCCCCATAACTTACGCAAACAAAGACACTTACCTCAATTCACGCAGAGTTTTTCCGTTATTTACTGGTGTCCAGGTACGGTTAAAAAAATAAAATAAAAATAAAAGTACCGCTTTCCAAAAAAAATAATTTCCAAAAAAGCAAGCAACGGTTAGCTTGTGAGGTTTCGGATTAGCAGCTAGCTAGTGGTGCCCACTTAAAGAGCAAGTTGAAGCTGCTGGCCCACTGCGTACATTTCTTCTAAGCAGGAGCCTTCAAGTTCTTCTGCTGTTTTCGCTAATTTAAGTGCTTTACCCTCCCAGTGAGTATAAAGGCGACTACGTGGCGAAACGACCCGCAACTAGTGTGAATTAACGACACCGAACATCAAACAAATCCAAAATGTCCACGACTATCAGTAAGGAAATAGAAAAGGTAAAAAAAAAAATAAAAATGCGTACGACCTCCGACTGAAACGTTTTCCTCTAAAGCGCGCCGCACCCAGATGTTTTCGCTCATAATTTCCTCGGGTTTTAATCGTTGGCCACAGTCGCGGCTGTTCAACGGTCGCTCGGTGCTACATGGAGGCTCGCGGACTCCAGATGATGAGGCGAGCTTCTTCTCCGCGACCTTTACCAGACGACTGTACACCAGAAGTCGCTTTCCCAGCTTCACTCACAGCCGCTGCGGTGATGCTTTCACTATCTCACCCAGACTGTGTTTAGTGATTATCCCCATCTTCCCCCTCCTCTTCCTTCCTTCTTATATTCTTCCTCTCTTCACGCGTCCCCACCGCCGACCAAACCATAAATGTGAATTCCCCGCTGTAAATTATTTATTTTAAATCCGATTTCCCACACATAGAAAATGTGTTTGCACCATTATGTTAGGAGACTGCAAACACTTTTAGCGTTTTGGCGCCCCCTGCTGTAAATCCAGAATACTTTTCTTTGATAAAAAAAAAAAAAAAAAAAAAAAAAAACAATATGGGCAAATTTTCACTTAATCTAGGAAAGTAAAGCTACGGAAGAGAATTAGGGCCACTGGAAAATGTTTTTTTTTTTGTATTTTTTTTTTTTTTATATTATTTCAGTTTAAAATGGGAAAAAAGTCAGAATTCTGACTTTAAAGTCAGAACTGTTTTTCTCAGAATTCTGACTTCATTCTGACAGCTAACAAACATGTTAGCATCAAGATGTAGCCATGTCTGTTTTAGAAACTAGCTCTCTTGTTTTAATCACCTTCTACTGGCCCTCCCAAACAACTCACATCTTTGTCAGTGAAACTGAGTGCTCCCGCATCTCTCCCTTCATGGTGCCCATCTACATTAAGAGCCAAAATTCTGAGATTAAAGATTAAAGCCTGAGAAAAAAGTCAGATTTCAGAGACAAAAATCCAAATTCTGAGATTTAAAAATCAGTTAAATTTTTTTTTTCCAGTGGCCCTAATCCTCTTCCGTATAAAGCCGTAAATTAAACATTACCATTCAAATTTTTACATTTTCCTCTAGAGTGCTTTTAACAAGTTTAAATTGTTTGTCAGATTAAATGTAAACAGAGTTGTGATCATAAAAGCACTCTTTCATCCTCAATAATACCATGATGGACATTTCTTCCATTTAGTTTTTTTCTTAAACCAGACGTAATATTCTACTCTTTCTTATGATGTAAAGGTAACAAGAAAGGAAAACCCCTTAAATAACATCTTGAACAAAGTTCCTGCACATTATTTCTACAAAAATTCCATATCTTTAGATCTTAGTGTCCAGTATCCCTTCCTTTAAAAAATGCTGGATGCATGGATGAATGGACCAAATGATGCCACTGATTATTCATGAAAATAATTGAGGAGTATGACTGAAAAGACTGGATGGAAACAGATTACTAGAAGGAAAAATAAACATTTAAATTTTTGCTTTAGAAGTAAATCCTGGGAATATTTCTTCCAAACCTTGACTTTCTTCCATTTTTTTCAGAAGACACTTAAATATAGATTAACAGGCTGTGTAGGAACAGTACAAAAGTATGCAGTTTCCACTGTGAGTTTTACCTTTATTGCACTGAATAATGTTCATTGATTATTTGTGGAAACATTCACCACCCTCATTTCAGAAGTGGAGCTCAATTTATTGAAATTAAATAGCCCAAACCTTTATTTTCGGATGATTTTCTGAATATCAAAAGTCATTCTCTTAGACTCAGGAGTAGAATATAAATCTAAAAATATATTTTAAGCTGAAATATCAGACTTTGACAAATAAGAACAGTTCTATGTACTCTATTTCTTGGTTGGGCCTCAGTTTTTGCATAAATAAATCATAATAAATAAATTAATGCATCGTCTTATTTGGGATAAGGAGTGCAAGAGCTAAATTGTTTATTTAGTTGTCTAAACAAAATTAAAAGTATTTTGTAGTCAAGGCGGGTATTTGGTTAGAATCTGAAGAAAGAGAGGAGGGACATAATCAACTGCTGCTTGAAGTCCAGATTCAGTGATGGTTTGAGGTGGCATGTCATCAGCTGGTGTTGGTCCACCAAGGTTTCTGGAGTAAAAAACAAACAAACAATTTTAATCCCTTAATCTAATGATTTTCCTTATCTTTTTATTTTTTTTGTAATGCTCTTTTAAAATCAAGTGTCTGACAACGTAGTAGAATTAATCCTATATTTTTATTCTTGTACCCATTTTTGCAATGAAACGGTTATGTAAATGTTTTCTTTAAAATAAATGTAACATTTAATTTTTTTTTATTTATAAGGTTTTTGTTTCTGGGGCCGTAGTCAGTCCTTTGCATTGAAAGAAAGCATCCTGGCGTGGTTCGCGTCCGAGAAAGGTCCTCAGCATGTCCATCCCGTCCACAGAGCCTCCAGCTTCTAGTATCACCTTTCTGTACTCCTTCCCAACCTGAAGAAAAACGCAAACACATTTAACACAATCCTAGATTAAGTTCAAATCAAAAGGGAAAGAGGGAATATAACCAACCAACCTTTGGGTTCATAATGCCTTCCTTTTTAAAACGACTGAAGAAAATGTCCATAGAGTAGACTTCACTCCACAGATAGCTGTAGTACTGACCATCGTATCCTCCTGCCAAGTGGCTGAAACTGGCTGTCATGTTGGTGCCTGGAAAAAAAGCACACACAAAAAGGCATGATTAAAGTAGATCCTTTAGAACATGAGTCAAACTCTTTAGACAAATTTTATTGTCATTTTGTACACATAGAGTGTATACAATTTAGATTTTTCCATTTATAGTGTGCATCAGTGATCACAATATAAACACTGTAGGAGAGACATGGTGCAAAAGGCATTGATGTGGAAGGTTCAGAGCAGTGCAAAAATAAATACATAAATATGGTGCAAAATGCAGTAGAAACACCGAGTTGAGTTCTATTTTAAAGATTCGCCATGTAGTGCAAGTATGATGTTTACAGTGTGATCCAGAGTCTCGAATCGTGGCTTGATTAGTTTTTAACAGTTCAACAGTATTATTGCAGCGGGGAAAAAGCTGTTGCAGAACCTGCTGGTCCTGCATTAGATGATGCGTAGCCTCTTCCCAGAGGGCAGCAAGGAGAACAGTCCGTGGTGGGGGGGTGAGGGGTCGCGGATGATGTTACGGGCTGAATCTGGCCCCTCATGGCAAATTATCCAGCTCTCAAGGGCCAGAAAATTTATGTCGTCATAAAATAGAGATAGACCCATACACTGAACATATTTTTCGGCATCATTTTCACCCATTCATTAGTGCATTCAGCAGCCATGCTTAAGATCATGTAAGGTGCATGTATTCCTTCCATTTGCTATCCATTGTTGTTTCATTTGTTTATTTTCATTTTTTATTTATATTGAGACGTGTGTAGCTATTATTTTAATCAGTGTGTAATTTTCATCATGTAAAGAAGAAAAAAAAAATTAGGGGCTTCATGAATTTACCCAAAAGTATCGGTAGCACATATCTATGATAGGTTAGACTACTGTCAGAATAATCAGCATCGGCCTTAAAAACCCCTCTATCAGTCAATCTCTACAGTAGAGGCATTTTCTCTTTAAAGTGTAAAAAGTAGCTTAAAAAGCTAAATAAATAAGGGTAAAGTTATGTTTCTTTGTAAAGCAAATTATGAAAACTAAAGTTTTATTTATATAGTTGAACCAGCCATTTTTAAGACCAGATGATGCTTTAGAAGAAGCAGGAATTTATTTTGAAAGTTTTCCTCCAGGTGTTACTACTTGTTAAATGTAATATAACTACATCAGAGATGATAAGAAAGGGGCCAAATGGAGACATTTGTTAAGGGTTAAGGTTAAAAAAACAACTTACTTTTAAGGTTTTTAATTCGTGTTTAAAATATACTCTTAAAAGCCCATATTAGGTCACTATATTTTTCAGAAATAGTTAAAAGCAGTCCATTGGACTTTGTTTCCAAGATTTGAAGATGATTCGCTTCCCATCCAAGAAGCTTTTTCAATTAAAAATGTCAGGAATAGCGCTGAGTTCGAGGTTTTATGCAGTAGCCCAACAAAACCTTGTTTATGTTTTGAAAACATGCAAATTGAAACGGATGAAGGGGTCCACCCCTTTGGAATGGGGGTCCTTTGGCTTATTTTGCTTGCCTGCAATGCCCCATACCCGTCTAAGTCTCTGAAAAGGGGGGTCGTTAAAGGGAATTGTTGGCCTGGCTAAATAGGTGAGGTCTTCCGCTCTCATGTACAGGGGCTGGGGATGCGATGATAACAGGAAGGGATCAACTCAATGGCTGCATTGTAGGTTTTTGAAAGCTGAAATCTGAGTCTACCCCTTCTGTTTAAGGTTGGCTTTTCTTTCTTAACATAGATTCTTTGTCCAAAATGTGAACATTCTGGTTCCTTAAAAAAATTTCCTTTGTCCATAAGGTGTAAATGTACTTCTACACATCTGTAATTCTGCGGTACATCTACACTTTATGGACAAAGGACATTCTTTTGAGGCAAAAGAAGCCCAACGACTCCCATTCCAAAAGGCCTCGTCCATTTTAATTTGTATGTTTTCAAAACAAAGTAAGGTTGTGATGGGCTACTGTATTAAAACTTGAACTCCACGCTATTCTTGACATTTTGAATGTAAAAAGCGTCCTGGATGGGAGGTAAAACGTCTTCAAACTTACTCCAGTCTATATGCTTAGTGGCTGTGACGTTAAAACCAATATACAGCAGATCTGTGGGAGCATAGTTTGACAGTAAAAAAATCAAATAAAAATTGGTTAATCCTAATCAAAACAATTAACCTATCTTGATTGCCATTAAAATGATTCCTACTTGGACTATTGCAAAACATTTCAAACAATATATATACAAGACCTACATAAATATGCGCAGATCTGTTATATATATTTATATACATAGAACAGCATTGTACTCTGAGCATGCAGCCATTTTCTGCTTTCTGCTTGCATGTTTGTTAACGCTGTTGCCTTGCAAGATCAAGATGAGCCACACAGACAGTCCATAGATGTCCAACTAGTCTTTCTTGAAATTATTAAATACCTTTAGAGAACTTGGTAAAATGTCACTGACACATTATCATAACTGCAATTTGATTTCCTGTTTTGTTTGCACAATTCATTATATAATCCTTTTATTGTAAAACATACATTTAAAGGTATCAGTGGTCTCTAACGTTAAAAATCTAGCAGTCGTTAATGTAACTGACCAGGTGTGGCAGGAACACCAAGGATGTCCTGGCAGTGCTGTGCAAACACCTCAGCAGTATCTGCACTTGGACAGGAGTGAAGAACCTGGTCCACTTTACTGAGGATGACCTGCCGCAGGTTCATCAGACCTAAAGAGGAGAAAAGCACTTTGATGGAG